GCTGTGGTGGCCCTTGTGCAGCCTCTCTGGGTTTTCTGAGATTTCTGAACCTCCTAGTTCAAAGCCAAGAAGAAATTTTGTACCACAAAGCATGATCTCTGAGTATACATCTCCCACATGTTCATGGTTAAAAAGTACATATTGGTCTTCTTTGAAGTATGAAAATAAAAAAAAAAGGAACCTTATTTATATGTCAAATAATGGAGTATTTCACAATTTTATTTTTTTTTTTTTAAAGTCTGAGTTCTCAACAGCCCAGCCTTATTTTTGACAGCAGTTCCTTGGCAGCAGAGAGGTCCCTGCCTGGTGTTGGATTAAGTGCATTGGTGAGAGCACTCCATTGCCCGGACAGTATGGGACAATCACCCTCCTTCTACTGAGCATCTGCTCGTGTTGCACAAACACTGCTGTTAATCATAATGGCCCCAGCCTATTTATTTGGTCCAGTATCAATTTAACTTGAAATTTATTCCACCTGTTTCTTATTTTTATGTTTAGCTACTTGAGACTATTTAAAGGAAGGGGAGAATTTTTCCACATTTACAGATCGGTTTCACAACTGCCTTTCAAAATACAGACATCCACCACTGTGGATAGTTTAAAATAGATCATGCATCAGGATTTCCTCTCTAAATATCAGTTGCCACGATCTGGAAAAGTGAGAACAATTTCTCAAATCTGGATATAAAAAAGATTTTCTTTTTTTTTTCTATAAACATGCAAAGAACTCTATTGGATTATTTCCCATTCAGCACTTCTCTTTTTACATCAGAAAAGCACGTTGCCATGCAGCTTCATTCTTAGCTTGTACAGACTATCAAAAGCTAGAAATTCAGATCATCCCTGTCACAGTATTCTCATCTCTACAGGACCCCAGAGACATTATATTTTTCTAGGTGCCCAGCCTGTGTTTTAGACAGGGTGAGCAATCTGATGTGCCTTTGCAGCTGCTGGTCCATAGAAGGTTCTATAGTTCAGGTTCTTCCAATGCTTCTCAAGGGATCCAAGCAAATGCAAGTGGGACCTCTCTGACATCTAAACATTAATTCAGCAGAGAACTGATTCCATCTCAGAAACAATCTGTATCAGCAGTAGAAAATTACAACAGTATTATGGTGTCAGCAGAAACCCTAGCCTAGCTACTATAGAAAACCCTCTCGGGAGTGTATAAGGATTATAACCAAAAAGTACTTATGGGACACAGCAAAGTATAGAGGAGTTACATCACAGCAGGTGTTCACTACATAGAGAAATAATGATTTTATGCAAGACTAGTGATACTCTTCCTGTCTTTGAAAACATATTTTGAATCCTAATGTTGACAGGTGTGGCTGAAAAAGATGCCCCAAATAAAACAGAAATAGGTATTTCTTTCTTTAGAAGGATTCAAAGGTAAAAATATAGCAACGGAGTCTTTGAAGCTCACTGCAAAACATCCATGCTCCACAAAGATTTAAAAGTAGCACAGGGTTGGCAGAAATGCTGCCTCGTGCAGTTCTGCAGAGTCCTGAACGAGCGCGGACTCGCCTCGGGGGCACCTCGCAGCGTGCTTTGCCCTCTGACAGCGGGTGTTTGAGCCCACGGTAAACTGGGGGGGTCCAGATTGAAACCAGATGGGAAAAAAACAAATGGGATTGGTGCTCCTCCATTCCTTACTCTCCTCGATCACTCTTCCCAGTCAGTTTGAAGGGAAACTCCACAGCCTTACCCATGGTCCCTCATCTGCTTCCCTCAGTGTCCCTGATGCAGGGCGACAGGCACCCTCCTCAGCTGGACTGAACAGCTCCTTTCTACTGTGTGACACCTGATCTGCTTTTGTACGCTCAAAATAACAGTAGCCAGGAGCTGTTGGTTACTTGTGACTGCTTTTTTAACCGATTAAAGTTTTCATACAGTCCTCACGACAAAGAAAACCCAGTAGATGTAATATGTAAAAAGTAAAACAGTATGTGCACACAGGAAAGTCAAACCACAGTAAGAAGCAGCACAGACAGCATATGGCCCTATTTACATGCACAAAGTTAACAGTATAATATCCAATTAGGAAGGTGGAGATTGAAATCATCACATCAGACAGCAATTTCCAGAGCATGTGAACTCAAGACTTCAGCGTTTCCTTCCCAGACTGAATGATGCTGAATGATGAGATTTATCTCGTTCCCCTGGTTTCTGATAATGTGATTGTGGTGAAAGGTCAATAGAGAGCATAAAGCCAGGGCATGAACAACAGGCATTTCAACAGAGCTTTTGCAGCAGGGTGTAAGCTCCAGAAAAGCTTTACTACCCACAGGGATTGTAGACAGAGAAATTCTCTAAGTGTTCAGTCACAGAAGAGTAGGATCCAGTTATGAAAGGGAAAATATCGAGGGAATTTCTGTTGCAAATGTATGTGTGAAGGCATGATTTCAAGCTCTTCCATGCACCACTAATCTAAAAAGGGTTAGCCAACATGGTGCTTAATGCCATGAGAGAACTTAGGCCGATACAATTTTAATATCTGGGTTTGTATTTCTCTTTGGGTATCCCTGTTGTGCATGGTCAAATTTCTTCCTAATAATTAAAAGTAAACAGGCACACTACTGAAAAAAACTGTCACCTGTCTCCTGGCACATCTTCCCTTTATGGCTAATTCATGAAGAAATCAGAAATGTCTGGTACACACAAATCATACTCTGCAGTAATTACCCGTTAGCACCCGGATTCAACTTGCAAACCTTTTCACGAAAGCTGTTACACAGACGGTCCTACTGCTGTCAGTAAAACCTGATGGGAATCCTGCAGTACCATGCAACCGAGGAGGAGGTACTGGTACCAGGCACCCTGCAAAACACGAGTGCTGAGCCTCAGCCAGGGAAACTCTTCTGTACTCTAACTAGTTCCTTTTCCAACAATATTTAATTAACCTAACTTTGGAATTACATTTCGGTCTTTTCCAAAGATGCAATTAAACTCTAACAAAATAACCATTTAAACTGTTAAGTAGAGTTTTAAAAAGCTCTAATCCCCTCAAAGAAATTTTTCAGCCCAATTAATGACTGCTAGCTGAAATGTTATGTTTATAATGAGTTTATCCAAAGAAACTTAGAGAAGGCGCCTGATGCCTTATTACAGAAATGTACTGCAGCTCAGTTTAGTTTTGACGTTTAAACAAATATATTAATCACTTTTAAATAGAATGCTTTCGTTATTTAACAAGCAGTTTTGGTAACAGATTGCATCAATTAAACGAATGTAGAACTAGTGTTCTCTTTAAGCACCAAGCACACCGAAACTTAAGCTCCTTTGGAATTTTTTTTTGCCAAAATAGCTCTCACACTCATTGTATATGACAGAATTTTGATTAGATAAGAATTTTTCACAACTGCTGTAACCCTGTGGAACATCAGATGCCGACTAACTTCCTGAAAGAAACTCACAATTTAAAGAAAAGTTGGATTCTACCATGACTTTGGGAATGGCTTGACAATGATGTCGTGCTATGAAAGCTGGGACAACAACAACTAGAGCAGTAATAAGGGGGGAAAAAAAAGAGTTTATAGGGGAAATAATGCTTTTTCTTGGAATAGGATGTTTAAGCGTTTCAAGTCAAGGCTTATCATGCCTTGCAGTATTCATAGAATTCCAGATTTTTCAAATTTATAATTCTACTGATTATTCTCTTTCCTTTCTAGAAGTTGCTGATTTCTAGTCTCTTTGATGAATAGAAAGGTGAGATGTTTTAATATTTAGTATTTTAATAACGAAACGCTAGGTAAATGCAACATTTTCATTTGGATTTTGAATAAAAGAAAAAGAAAGATCAGGCTTCCAGCTGACACGAAGAGCGACAGAACCCACGTGGATTTTGTTAGCCTATGACAACTAAGGACCTGGCCAAAGGAAATCAAGAGTTTGGGTTGATACATAAGCCAGATGTAGGTGCCAGTTGGCTTGTTTCCATATCAACCAGAGCTCTGAAATCTGTAAATGCAAAAACTCAGCTGTAAAACTGCAATTCCGAGAGCTCTGGTGCTGGTGTGGGAAATGGGGCAGACCTGGGAGGGCCTGGAGGACAATTAAAGCCCCCAGCTAATGCTGTTTCTGATCATAGATTAATTCTCTTTCAGTCCATCCATTTACAGGCAGATCCTGACTCTAGAATTGGTTCTGGACAGGAAAACAAAGCAAGTAAGCACAGGAAGTCCTTCATTATCTGACAAATTATATGACAATTACTATTGCGGCCATGCACGTGACACTTTCTTGTTACAGATCAGTTGGGATCATCTAGCAGGGAACCACATTCAAGTTTTAAAACTTAAAAAAAGTTGATGAAATATTAAGTCCATCTTTTTTTTTTTTTTTTTCATGACCGTGTTTTGAATGCTTGCAGGTGCTTCATGCAGCAGACTAATTCATAGATAATCTTTTGAGCTGTGGTACATCCTCACTGCTAGAATTATTTTGATGATAAGCGCTATCATTTGTAGCCAGGCATTCTGAAGTAAGACTGCCAACCAGCATACTTTAAAGCTGCTTAGGTAACCAGAATGTACCAAAAAAGCCATCCAAGACGATGTGGGTAAGCTTTCAGCCATCAGCAAAGCTGGGATAAGATAGAATCGCTCAAGGCATAACATTTTGTTTCTTGTTTGTCAGCGTTGGACTGTTTTCTCTGAGTCTACCGCTTCCTTCTGCCTTTAGCCAAAAGAACAAGCAGATACTGCTGTTTCCAAGCAAATTAAATAAACTAGATTTAGCTCTATGGAAAAGGACAAATTCCCAATGTTTTTTCTTATGTATTTTTCCAAGCTTCACAACCCATGAGGTTCCCGAGTGTATAGTACCCCTCCTTCTTATTCCTTGGCTACTGCTGCACAGGCAGCCCCAGCACTTCCCACACCCCCTCAGCTCTGCCAGGACATCTTGCTGCTTTGTTTTCATTAGCAGCGATAAAATGCTGGCTTTTTTAGGACTACATCAGCTCAATGGAGAAACTCATAATGCTTTATTGTTAACAGCGAGCGAAGCCGCACGAAGCTCAGTATTCCTGGATGGTTGAAATCTTGACAGTCGAGCGGTGCAGCAGGAGCCATGTCTCTGCCCTTCCGGAAAGAGTTGGAGAAATATAAGAATATCAATGAAGATGAAATACTCAGCAAACTCTCAGAGGATGAACTGAAACAGCTAGAGCATGTTCTTGATGACCTTGATCCTGAGGTTAGTGATGGGGACCAGGGGGATCCGAGTTCAAAAGCTGACTGTTATAAATGCCTCATACTGCAGCATTTTCTGTTTGCCTGTCGCAGCAGAAGCAGCGTACCCTACAGTAGGAGCAGCTCAGTTATGTCCTGTGCCCTTTCTCTGTCCCTTGTCTATTTAGACAGGAGCTTGTCTGCAGTCTAAATCTTTAATCATGTTTGTACGCTGCAGCGTGAGGAGAAGCTTTTTGTGGCTGCTCTTTCTGAGCACAGCAATAAACAAACAAACAGAACGTGTGCTGGTGAAGATCAGATCTTTCTGAACTTCAGAAATCTGTTGACTGTGTCATTCAGCACAGATATTTTTAGCTGAAGAGAATATATTTAGGCGTGGTTAAGAAAAATAAGATTCAGCTAAACAACTGTCATCTTCTGGAGAGCAAGGATAATTTGAACATTAGAAGACACTCTCACAAAGAATTTAAAGATGCCTGTCCTGGGAACCATTTGGTCCTACAATAACGAGGTTACAGTCACAAGCATGGTGGATGGGAATTCTGACTGTACCTACCCCAAAACCTTCCAAACTGATGAAGGAATTGGAAAAGTGACAGATAAAATCCATTTATTCTGGAGACAAATTTGAAACAGATTTATAGCTTCTAGTTTAATAGAACAAATTTACCTGGAAGTTAAAGGTGGGGTTTACTGTTCTCTCCCTCCACGTTGTCACTTCTGTCACTACTACCACTTCTACAGCACGTTTTCAAGTATCTGGAGTCTGGAATGGAGGCACAGAACATTAAAAACCCACCAAAACAGGCCACAGTGCATATGTAGCCAGGCTACATATGTGCAGTAAATTTGTGGCACTCTGGGCACACAGATAAGATGTTTAGTGACGTGAGTTCACTGGCCGTGTTCAGAATTCACTGGACACTCGCCATGGGCCAGATTTACTGTGTGTGTTCTGGCCAACGGCGAAGTGGTTCTGCAGCACTCTGGGGCATCTTCAACATGCTGGCTTTGCTGCGCGGGCACGCCAAACTCCACGTCCTTGTATTTCTTTCTGGGATTTCCTGGACTGAAATGTGGGAGCATTATCCATCTTCCTATATTATGGGATGCAGGTGCAATCGCAGGGTCACACAGCTGCATGTTTAACGTGGGGCTTCATCTGCGTGCTTCCTGCATAGTCGGAATAGCTGAAGTCCACATCACCCGCCAATTACTTTCTGTGCGTGCCATTCATTTCTGAAGTCCTAGAGACATCTGCATTAGAATGAAAGGTGTTTGTGAAAAATGAAGAGGGAGAAAAAAAGAGTAAATTAAGAAAATGTGAAAAAATACCTTATCCTGGTCTATTTACCCAGACTCCAAACTCTGTGGTTACAATATGTGTATAACAAAGGGTTCTGATCTTAGTTCTTTGGTGCTGTGATTGTAAATATGGTTAATAAAAATATTAATAGGTGGTACAATCAAGAAGCTTGAAAGATCTACTGGTTTTAATGGTTACACTTTGGTGATGTGAGTTACTGCTGTCACCAAAGAGCATTATGTGAAGTAACAGGTGAAGAATGATTTCACTTAAAAAACAACATGGAAATGAAGTTTGGAACACTACGTGAAATTGCTTCATGTGTTACGTGCCCCCCTCTCTTTCACAGAATGCCTTGCTGCCAGCGGGATTCCGGCAAAAGGACCAGACCACTAAACCCGCCACGGGCCCTTTCGACAGAGAACGCCTGCTCTCCTACTTGGAGAAGCAAGCGCTCGAGCACAAAGACAGAGAAGACTTTGTACCGTTTACAGGGGAAAAGAAAGGTACTGTCCATCTTCATGTTGGCGTTGAGTAAAGGCCTGCCAGGGCACAGGCACCCACTGCTGCCTGGCCTTTTTGTGAAAAAACGCTGGGATAAAAGAGGGAGAGGCTGTTACTGCACGGAGGGAACCTCAGGAGTCAGATCCAGAGCTGTTGTGGCAGGAGATGAAGTGCTGACTCTATCTGCTGTCATAGTGTCTGTCCTGCTACTCTGGCAGATTCCATCAGGCCTGTTGGGGAGTTTGGGAACACACAACTGTCAGTCCAGCAGTGGGCTCAGTCAGCAGCTCCCACATCAGCAAATGCCTCTGTTTGCAGTCACGGGTGGGCACAGGTGGCCTCGGTAGCCCCACTGGGACTAGTCCACGGCAAGCATCAGGCCCAGGCAAGGGTACTGCGGGGTGGACGTGTTGAGGAGGAAACGTATAAATGCCTTTCTAAGTATTACTGCAACTGCTGTAAGTGATAGCTCGGGGAATACACTTACAAAAATATAATTATTTTTCCACTTGTTTACTAGCGCATCTGGCAATGCGATTCATGCAGACAGCTTCTCTGCTTCCCCTTGCCCTACAGCTACAGGAACAACAGGGAAAAACAGGAAAACCTAATTCTAATCATTCAAACATTGGTAGGATAACCTTAGGGCAGGAACAGTTGCATTTTTAAGCAAACAATGTCCCTTTAGCACCATTATCTCCTTTTCCTTGTTTATATACAGTGGATAAAACCGCCTACCTCAGGCCACTCCTTCGTTCAAGAAGGAACTTCCTATGTCTGGGTCCATTTCTGGCCATCTAACCGATCTGCCATTATTTCAATGAGATCTGCTTAAGGGAAAGCAGATATTTCAAGAAAATCAAAGGCAGTGTTTTTAACTTTGTGTGTCATTGTCAAAGATACAAAATGTTATTTGCAGCCCAAGAGCTGCTACTATCATTTCATTGTGTTCTCAGTCTTTGAAACAATGGGTTTAGACAAAGGAGGCATTTTTCAGCTAGATCTGATTCTTGTGTTACTTATCATGCAGCGTGTTCTTTAACCTACTTTTTCCTCCGTCATAACTTGCACTTACTGCTATTCACAGCGTTGATTCTGAGCCCACCAAAATGTAGTGACGCTCCAGTGATTCTGCTGGAAGTGCTCAAGCACATACTGTAGAGAAAGGAAAATGTTTTACTCTAGTAGGGATTTATTACCAGTTGTTTCCAGTCTCCTACACACCACTGTGTTAGAGCAGCTGCCACCTGCAGGTCTCTGCATATTTATACCAACACCTTCAGTCCGGTCTCACCTTACTGATCGTTACTGACTTAGGGCCAAGACTTTGCATTTTGCACCCCGAGATCTCCAAACATGCTGAAACACAAGTACCCCAAAACACAGCGGTGCGTGGAATTGTACAGACCCACAGGACTAGCACTTGATCTGTACAAAAGTCACTTTAATTGGAGAATAATAAGTATTCTTCGAAGCTTAGTAATTAGTTCGGGATAAATAATTTACGTTTCTAAAATGTGTCCTCAAAAGAAACTAAAGAAGGATGTTTCTTGAGGAAAAGTTTATTCTTCATCTTCTGTATATTGATGGTCTCTAAGGTGTAGTTACAGATTGGTAAATATTTATAATAATATATATCCCTGTTAAAATATTTATTTACATTATAGCAGCACTGTAATGTAGCCATACTGTAAATAGCCTCAAATTAATTTTACACTAATTCTGTAATTTAAAAATTTCATTGCGGGGCAGCTCTAAAATGCATCCAGTTGTGTATAATTAGAAATGAGAGGTGTTGATGCCACCTGAGAATATTTGTGTGTCAGTAGGATTAGAATATGCCGAGTGTTGTTTAAGCTTTTGTCAGTGTTTTGTACTTTGATATTTGTCTGCCACTGGGAAAGTTGGGTTGGTTTGTTTTTTGTTTTTTTTCAAATTTAGGAAGTGGAATGCTTCTATCAAACATTAAGCAACGTTTCTACCAGTTCCTACATTTATTGTCCAAATCTTGACAATAAAAGCTTGAAAATTCAGTTATGAGCTGAAAATAAAGTGGCATTTAAAATATCCCCCTTCCAGAACAGTCTCTGATACATCATTATTGTTTTATCTACTGTCTCTGCCCCTTCTTTTTTGCTGTTAATGCTTTATTAGAGTTCTCGACCAAACAGCTGCTGAAGGACAAAATTCAGTTGCCTACGTTGGTCTCTACAGGCTGAACACAACCATAAGGTTTTGATTGTGCTAGAAAACAAGCCAAAACAAATTCCAGAGCTGACAGGGATATTCAGAGTGGTTAAATCACAGGAAATGTTAAATATGAGCTCAAGGTGGGGGGTTGATTGTGCAGGGAATTGCCTTGGTTTTGATTGTGATCGTGGTTTCGAGAAGTTAGAAATGTTTGGCAAAAAAAATTCAAACGTATGGCATGTATTAGGGTTTTGGCTCTCTGCCATATTTCAGCTTGTTAATGTACTACATTAATTACTATACAAAAGAAGGTTTTAAGCCTGTAGGGGATAGCTCTCACATTTCAAGGAAAACACAGGATTTGTGCTGACCCAGGGCCAGAGTGGTCACAGCCTGACAGGTGCACCCCCAAACTGTCCACCAGGCAATTTTTTTCAAACTGCTTTTACCCCCCATCGTCTCTAACACGAGTCAGGGGTGTGTACTTCATTTGAATGTCCCCATGGCGAGCGTGTGCTCCCACTGTGGTGTTCGAATGATCTAGTGATGAGCAACGCAGCTGCTCATCAGCCATTCCCACAAACACTGGGTCCGTGATTAATGAGCAACGGAGGGGTTAGGGCTGATAATTGTTTGTAAGTGTTTATTTTATGTATTTTTGGATCAGTTCCGACTTAGGATAGATATAATTCTTATACAGAACCTGATGAACCACCAAAGATATTCTAGAAACCCTTACGCAGAACCTGATGAACCACCAAAGTTACTTTTGACCCACTGCATTTAACACATACAGCTGGAACAGCTGGTTATCACACTTAGATCACTGTGAAGCCTTTTCTGTATAATTTTCAAGTTCAGGAATAAAAATAAAAGGTGGAGAAATAAGAGGCAGTACAGGCACAAAATATTAAAGAGCAACATCAGCGCTGCCCGTTTTCCCTTACTGAATGCAGTATGTACATCTGATCTGAGTTAAGATCCGAGCACTACTGTAATACAAACGTAAACTATTAACAACATTTCTGTTCTTGCTTTGTTGCAGTGGTTTTTTAACTACATGATACTAATGAAACATAATTGAAAAAAGTTCTGTTGTGAAACATCATTAGATATGAAAACTTGGCCGTGCCACTTTTAATTGCTCTGAGAATTGCTGTTTCAACCCTTTCACCACTATCCCTGTTTTCTACAAGGTTTTCTGCTCCTTGCCAAATCATTTCATTTTGGATCCGATCCAGTTCTCATCAAAGTCATGGAAAAACTCCAGTGGATTGGGCTATTATTATTTGTGGCTGGAAAGGGAAGGGGAACATGCTGGTATGTGATTAAATGCTAACATTTTTAGACAACTGATAAAAAGGAAAAGGAAGAAAATAAGGATGATTAAACCAGAGAACTTGTGGGCAAGCCCCTGTTTTCAGTTGCCCTGACAGAGACCATCTATCCTGCACGTCACGCTGTGCCAAGCTGAGTCCAATACACAGCACTAGTAATAACGACAGTCATTTTCAGAAGGTCAAAGTATTACAGTAGATGCTAATGAGTTCCAATTCCAGTTTCTCTGACACACTCTAAATAAAAAAGTTAGGGGCTAGTTTAGAGACACGATATCTTCCTTGGATTGACAAAGGCAGTCTTTGCACTCACAACGCTGAAATGGTTTGTTTAAATTTTTGCCACCTTCTTCCCCTTCTTCAAGGCTCAAGTTTAAAACCGATGTTTGCCTCTTAAAGCATTGAAAGTGCTGCAGTTGCTGACAGTAATGCCTCTAGCCAGTGCCTTTCACTGCTTGCTTTTGTAAGACCCTGCCTTACTTGCTTATGACTTTGCCAAACTCGCACAGTTCACGCTGAAATTTCCCATGCTGAGAGTCTGCCTCGGGCTGAATTTTTGGAAAGTGTCAGCAGAAAGGACTTAGCTGTTTCCAAGAAGAAGATTAGGAGAAAACACATTGTTTTAGCCATCTAAAGTAAATTTTTCCAGCTGTTTTTTGTTTTGTTTTTTTTTTTTTAATGAGCTGCAGTGCCTCCATTCTTTGAAGAGGGGACATGAAACGCGTGCCCTTTGCAGTCTCAAGAGAAACACCCTTGAATTTGGCATCTTCCAAATATTGTACTTGTATATCCAGTTTGTTAGAGCGGTTTTGAAATATTCCTCCTGCACTGAGTGTTAGTCCCATGTGCAGACAGCCCACGGGAGGGCACAGCAGTGCCCAGGGACCCAGCGTGGCTGGCGGCTGCGCCCTGCAGTGGCTCATCTGAGGGGCCACTCTCACACCAGGACCACAGGCAGGAAGACTCTCTTCTGCTCTGACAGTGCTCCCCTCGCTTTGTAAGGGCACTGGAAAAGGAGGAAAAAAAAAAAAGAGTAAAGAGCCAGCAGAGAGGCTAGTGCAGAGAGGTGGCGGGATTGGTTTTTGAGGAGCTGTGTGGATGGGTTCAGGATGAAGGACTAGATGTGGCAGCGCTGGGGAGAGGAGCTTGGAGGAGAGCCGTGGTAAGGAAGAGAGGCCACAGGGAAAGGAGGTGGTGGGAAGGGTCAGGATTCCAAGATGTGCAACACCAGAGGCGATGGGAAAGGCACAGGGGACAACGAGGGAAGGGACAGAGGAGAAGGATATGTGGGTGAAAAGAGGCCAGAGAGGAACAGAACTAGTGTGACATCTGGCTCTGCCCAAGTTCCAAGGGTTTTTGATGCCCCTGAGAACCTGAGGCCCAGTGGCACAGTTTGACTCTCTCCCTTCTCTGCGGCCACTCCACATCAGACCTAAGAGCTTTCTGCTCCCTTGGGGAAGCAGGTTAATCCAGGT